ATAATAAGGCTGAGTGCTTCGAAATTTAGTTTGGCCGTTGGTCATGGTAAGTTGAAACATACCGAATCAAATATTTTGTAAGGCGCTTTCAACATTCTAGTAGGTGGTTAACGTTGAGTCGGAGGCCAGATAGCATTTCACACTCAGATGTGTCGCCTACTTTGCGAGTACTTGTTTTTGTCGACTACAAACGATAGATTGACAACATTTCATCTGTTTTCTCGCATGCGTCTATTCAAGTTTACATGTCACGTTCGCCCGTTTTCACGACAAACTGCATCTTCTCATTATAGAAACCAAATCAATTTATGAAAATGTTCTGACGAATATCAGGGTGAGTTTACGTACCAGATTCAATCTGCACTCACATACACACACACACCTGCTTATGACAAACATCAATCTACTTGTCGTCTGGCCTGCATCGCCACATCTCATGTCGTATTCAATAGTGTCATGTTGGCGTTTAGAGACAATGAGATGAGATGTTCACTCCTACTGAATAACTAACTAAACAGTGTGTGATGAGAATTTCAGGGATCGGTATTATAATTAGATGGGAAGCTTTGGCTTCTTTCTGACTGATTGTTGTGGCAGTTTATTGGTATGATGCTTCTAGCTGTGGTGCTTAATACACGTCTTGGCCACATTGGAATACATCGAGTGTATGATCCAGCGTATCGACTGGAGCACAATTGATTTGAGTAATTCAGTCGTTTGAAACTCAAAATGTCAAACATTAGTGATTGACTCACTTCATGAAACGTTCTTATCTACTCCAGTATCGTCCTTGATTTCACTGAAACTACTCATTCATTCATTATTTTTGCACTCTTTCTTCTCTTCTTGAAGAGTGAATACACGTTGCTCACATCGAATGGAACACTGTCATCCGTGTGAGATGGACATATACGTATATTCAACTGTCTTCACGAATCATGCGAAGACGACATGCTTTTCTTTTCTCTTTCACTTGATTAGACTGTATTACTGATAATTAATCGAAGTCGTAGTCTTAGTCTTTGTCGTAGTCGTAGTAATAGTGTTAAATGTAAAAGTAATAGTAATTGTAATAATAATAATATTTTGACCTCACTTTGACTTCTCCCTTCGATGTTCAATGGTGGTGGTTTGTGTGAAGTGTCATAGTCACATAAGAGACGAAGTGATTGGGAAATTCGCCCGTGATGAATGTAGCTTCCTTGCAATTATAACTTGGTGCCATCTCACAGTCTGCTCCGTTTCTCGGTTTGAACAGAGAAACAACGAGGATATTTGCAGGAGAATACGAGCAAGCTATGATCAACAAGAGAAATTAGCTTCATGGATTCTCTTCAACCACGAACATACTGATGAACTAAGTCAAATTATAGGTTACAAAGTGCTCGGACACACACTCTTCACAATGACTTCGAGTTATAGATAGACAGTGTGGACAACATGATTCCGAAGACGATGTAAGTAGACGAACTGTCCAATGTTAAAAGACTAACTTTTCCTAGTAGAATTCGAAAAGTGGGTGGAGGGGGGGCGGTTGAGTTGAAATCTTGCTCGGAAACAAGCAATGACTACAGACGAACTACAAAATTGAAGAACACAGTGAACTGATACATATTACGATGGAGGGCTGAAGACGGTGAGAATGAATAGTAGAGTGAGATTATGACAGACAAACAATAAGGTGGTGTATTTGGAAACTTAGTGGTGAGTTCGACTGAGTGAGTGAAAATGTAAATCAAGCGGCATGTTGTACAACAGAGAAAAACGCATAGTAAACTTGTCGCATTACTACTAGAATTAGAGAGGCGAATTCATTCAAATACATCTTTTCAGAAACTCCTCATCAAGCGTGTGAACTAGTGGATAACAGCAACAAACAAGGCGATCAGACCATCAATGACATAATGACATACTTATAATATTAAAACAACTAGTCCTTTTGATAAATTTGAATAGAGCATTAATAAGTCAAATTTCGCGAGATGATATTATTTCTTAGTTGCTTTACAACCGCTTTACAACTAACATAGATAGAGAATGATAATGAATACAAAGATGACAGTACTGTAACAACAGAAGACAACGGCCAGGCAACAGATCAGTTTTATTACGAAAACCAACAGGTATTTATATGTATTTTACGTACATTAATAAGGCTCTGCCCGCAGAAAGAAGGCGGTCTTCTGATTGGTTGTTTGCAAACAAACGCAGTCTTCTGCTTTCTCGTTTTCGATATTTCTCGGAAATGCGAGCCACTTGTCTGCGAATCATATTTGTCCACGTCTAGGTCAGCTGTGATCGGTTGTTGAATCAGCCCAGATTAATTTCCACCAATCAGCGTAGATCAATGTCTACCAATTGGCTAGCAGCTTGCTCTCACCACAGTACAACTGGGGATAATTGATATTCACCGAGGAGGAATAACAAGGGCGGACGACTGCTTTTCAATAACTTCTTTCTCTCACTTTACAATTATAAATCCAACCATTCTAGCACACATTAGCCAATGAAGACAAGTCGGGATAATATCAGACAGAGTAATGTGATACAGGTGGTGGGTCAGTGAATTCATAGTCAGTGGAATTCGCTTGTCATCCAAATCCATTTATAATGTACGATCAATCAGACAGATCATGAGGTGACTTGAAGTTGAGCAATTCAATGATGTGTTTCAAATAGGTATTCGAACGTCATCCGTGTATGCATACATGCACGATATCATGAATGAGGAGTCAGGAGATACATGCATATATTTCGTACAGAATCACAGACACAGCTACGCCGAAAACAAATACACCAATTTATTCATCTCATATAAACATAATGTTGAATTATATAATTGACAGACGTCTGTCAGCATCCCTAGAGAGACTAGACATATGGCATTGGTTACATCCCAGTAAAAAATTAACATGAAACATAAAGTTATTAGAAACATTAAATTAATACATTTTTCAGGATATAACATAAAATAATGGTTATCTGCATGCATAAGGGTGAACAGCAGTTAACATTACACGTCAAAAAGATGAACACTTGTTACTCATCAAAAGAAATCTGTTGTGATTTGTTACAGGATTTTCATCATGAGCTAACATTAGTTAGAGAACCATTAGAAAATTTGGGAGTACTGGACAACTGTTTCGTCCTAGTTTGGGACTCTTCATCAGTACGTACCCACCGGGGTTCGAACCTAGGACCTTCTGGTTACAAGGCGAGCTCGTATACCATTAAGCCACTGGGACCCACTGGATCGGGTCCCTTGTAACCAGGAGACCCTTGGTTCGAATCCCTGTGTGTGCGTACTGCTGAAGAGTCCCAAACTAGGACGAAACAGCTGTCCAGTACTCCCAGGTTTCCCAATGGTTCTCTAACTAATGTCAGCTCATGATGAAAATCCTGTAACCAATCAAATCCCTACAAACCAACACTTGAATATCTATTGTGATTTCTTACTTCAGTGAGTAATACCCTAACGTCTGTAATTCACACAGTGGCAGCAACTAAATAAGCTGAATTTTCCACAGAAAATTATCAATTCAAATTGTTCCACCATAAGGTGGGGAAAATAAGAAAGACAAACTATAGTAAACAAAAATCTACAAGAGGGGGAAATAATTCCATGAAGAATAATAAGAAATTGGTGAATCTAGAAAGTGAATACAACATCTGCACCATTTACAACAATTTCCAGTCATATCATCAACAGTCTCCACTCATTGGTCTTTAGCATACCGGCGATCCCGAGCAGGCAGTCTACACCTATCTTATGCGGCTTAAACCAACGGTTAGAAACTCTCATAATCGTCCCACTTACGCAACAACTGACTGTAGTTTGGATGATGTAAATGCTACGCTTTGTACCAAGAGTTGTTTAATTTGCTTCCAATAGCAGGACGCTCAGCTATAATCATTTCACCAAATGATATCAGTGTCGAAGTATTGAAACTGTATCATTTGCACAATGCTATCTAAACCAGTTTTTTTTTAAATGTGCTCCACATGTATTTAACGTCGGATAACTGGAAATTACTTTATTTAAAAAGATTATTATATTATCACCTTGGGTTCCGAGGGGAACATAGGACTTGAGCAGTGCATCACCATTTCAATCTGTTCTGCACAATATATTTTTCCAGCAGGCTCCAGGAGTGCCATAAGCTTCCACTTTCTCCATTCACGATCACCTCGATGTCAGCCTCGGAGGCTCAACTCGTCGATTACCATTTGGTCCCCCACCCGAGGGGCTGGAAAGTGATGAGGCCAACTGTTGGTCAACAGTCCATCTCCACTTCCTTCTGCATATTTCTTAGGCGATAGGTTTTTAATTGGTCCGACGCCTGAGTTCCTTGTTGCTCATCCTTTCTGAGTGGTTTTCTGATCTTTAGTGTTGAGCGAAGGCAGTTGTTAATGAAATTCTGCAGCCTGTTGGAAATGATCCTCATGATGCATAAGGCAATTCCCTAAACTACAGAGAAGCACTGACTTAACATCCAGTGTTGAAGATACGAATCTTGTTCCTTACGCTAAGTGAAGCAGATTTAACAGTAATGAAGGACTGTCTTGCCTTTCTGATTCTGACTAGCTTTGACATCCTCACCAGTGCCACCATCTGCAGTTAAAACTATGCTATCTAGGTAACTGATTTTTCCTATAGAAAATATGAAGTGAGCTAATTCGTGAAACGATGGCAAGCATGTTGACTGAAAATGCAACAGAAAAGAAAACAGAAGTATCTTCTGGTTGCAGTTTTGTTTATCTAGCAAAGCTATCTGTATACAATAATGACAACATTTAACAACTTTACATTGAAACTCCTATTTAACACAAAGTATTCGTGTTCTGCTTTGTTCATCTTCATTTTATGATTTCCATAATGGTTCACAGCTTTCTGTATCGTCCTTGTTCGTCACTTAATCCATCGCCTTTCTGTTCAACAGTCTTACAGAAGACATCACCAAATATACTACTTATAAGTTTTATCAGTAACACATGCAGCATGGAACGAAATAGTAAACATATATTTACGAGAAAAAAAATAAGTAATATGTACAAATCTTGGGTTTATAATACATAAATAAATTTTAAAAACTCATACAACTAGCAGAACATTTTACAAACACCAGTGTTATCAGGATATCCAAAAACTTTTCTCGATGAAGCCAATTTTACCAGGAGGGTTACTGTCAGTAATGTTGTATTTCTCTAGCAGTGTCATTAATTGCATCTCTGGTAATGATTGACGTAAAATACTCGAGTTATTTATAATTATTCTGATTTTATGAACAAGACGTATAGCTTGATTACCATAAAGTTTCAGTAGTACAACACCTGCAACTTCAAATATTCCATGTAGAATCTGTAAAATTCGAGAATTAAATTCATCAGAGAGAAAAAAACCATACCAGATGAACAATATTGACAAATTATTATTGTGTCAAGAAAAACTGCATGTGAATTATTTGATAAGGTAGTTTTGTTTGTATATATGTATTAATCTAAATCTACTGATCAGGTGTGTAGTGCAGTTATCAGACTAAGGTACACAACAGTCTTATATGATCTTCATTGTTATTAGACTTATTGTTCCATCAGACAAATCCAGTCGTTAGGTGTCGTGTTAGATGCAACCGCAAACTACAATGAATCTATAGTTTTAAGGAAAATTGGGGCGGAAAACGTGTCCCATGCAGTAGCAGTTTATCAGGTCTAAATTTATGAGTGTGAGAAATGACCAGTGATTTTCAACCCTTAAATCTCTGGTGTCACATGAAGCAATATTGTCAATAATAATGAGGTTAGACGTAGACTTCTGGGTCAGAAGCGGATGTCAATCGATGAGGATGTGAGGCTTCATTGAGCGGGATGTCAAAAATAGGCCAAGCATACCAGGCTACCGCATTCTTCAATGAGCGCTGTTGGAGTATGTTACAACGGGGAATACGATAATGGATTTGGATTCGTTACTAAATCAACGCTGAACAATAGGCGACTGATGATCACTTGAAAACTATTTCCACATTCAGAAAGATACAGATGGCTGACTGAGAAGACAAATATTCATTGCTCCATGAAAGAGGTGATCTGATGATTAGAAATTGCAACTAGTTATATAGTTATTTTACCTAACCTAAGAATGGCTACTTTAAGACATAGAAAACTATGTTTTAACTGGATGGTATACATCAATAAGAATCCAATGACGCCACCTGTAGTCTACATTTGAACTAATTGCCTGATTTCGAGACCACATAAACAATGATTCATAATACGTCTCTTCCTGTTCGAACCCTGGTGGATGCGTACTGATGAAGAGTTCCAGTCTAGGACAAAACGGCTGTCCAGTACTCCCAGCCGGTTTTCCAATGGTTTTCTAACTGATGTCAGCTCATGATGAAATCCTCCAACCAATCAAACAAAATCCCTACGAAATCAATACTCTTCCTGTCAGAATAAAACATGATACCAAACCAAGGAGTCATTGACTATCGATCTGAGTCATGTTTGAAGGTGTAGACTACTCATCTGGCAGTAGTCCGAGAGATGCTAAGAATTAATATATTCGAAGATTGTTGGTGATATCGCTTTAAACTGTCCAAAGGGGTGCAGGCGTATTCACTACATGTCATCATCAAGCTTCTGAAACTTCTCACAGAGTTTTCACCAAATAGTTCTCTCCTCCATCGTAGTTTCATTACATTTATTTTCTTCCTACTTTTATGCGCACTTCTCTGAAGTGTGTTAACAGGAGTCATCGTAATTCTTTACAGAGGGATCTACTCACTAGGATGCAGTTACATCCAGCTGGTGAGTCATAGTAGGAGGGAAGGATGATTCATGATTCAAATGCTAGTCAACATCTAAAATAAGAAGTCTTTTCATCACTAATTACCTTCTTAGGAATTTTTCACTCATTCCATCTTCATTTGATAAGAAGTCAGATATGTCCCCAATATTATCGAATAATTACAGCATTAATAAAGATTGAACAAACATTATAAATGCCTATTTTAGACACTATGTATCACCCAAAGTGTACACATTTTACACGCATATTATAACGTTCAGAGCTCGTTAGCCATAGGGCTATTACATGATGTGCAACCTCCTTAAACAGGTCCAGTGGTCTACACCAACACCAACTAGAAAAACCGTGGAAAAATAAAGATCACTGGACAAGTGTATCATTCTACTTTAAGATTATTCATCAATGTTCACACAGACAACTACATTAGGCATTGTGCTAAATACTGTCAGATTTCGCGTGGTGAACATATTACCATGTGGTAACTAGCTTAATGTCGTTTACTGATTCCTTAGACGTTGTCAATAAAGAAGCGAAATTTGTCTTCAGAAACCATTTGTTGAAAAATAACAAACTGGTGAGAGTGGAGGGTAGATAGACAGGTGGGATGATTTTAACGTGCTACAAAGTGAATAATGACAATCCGTTGAAGGTCCTCGATTCGATCCTTGGTGGGGTCAGGGGGCGCGCAATGATGAAGAGTCCCGAAGAGGGACGAAACAGTTGTCCAAAACTCTCTATAATTAAAGTCAGTTTATGATCAGTCTTGAAGTCAATTAAATCCCTGCAAACTAAAACTTGAAAAACCGTAAAAAAACCAACGTACCTAACCACACTAAAGGACACAAAAAAATTAACACACACCAACATGAGTAGCATACAAATAAAAGCAAAAAGGTATTAAACAGGAAAAGACAGCGGTGACCTCTGGGAATCGCAGGAAGACTGTGTTCAACTCCCAGTCGATGCAATCCTAAACCTTGATCTGACACTAGTAACTAGTGTGATGCGTCTAGTCCTCTCTTTGGTGCAGACTGAATTCTATCAGTGAATTCTATCACTGATAGAATCCTAAACCTTCCTTAGTTCAGTAGTTGATAGTCATTATGTAAAAGAAGTGACGTTTGTTGTAAGTTTAGCACAACCCTACCGCTATGGAAGCTTAAAAGCTTGAAGCTGTATGTTCTACTCAGAACGCCAAGAAATGAGGGGAAAAAACATTTACATCAACCAGGAATGATTGAAATAAGATCTGATCTGACTTTCTGATCGCTTATTTTCAAATAGGGTACCAAAAATACATGATCCGCGCGTTTTCGTACTACTTTTAATCTCATATCACCACACATCACCAAAAGTATGTGAACATAAAGGCTTAACTAAAACATACCAAGAATCACAATAAATATTTAGAGGCCACTTACGCTACTCGATAAATAGTAAGTCACACAAAAAATAATAACTCAACACCTTGGAGATGTAATAAAGTATTTCCAAGGAGGATTAATGACACTACTCGAGTGGAGAGAGTAAAGAAGGTGAGGCGAATATCAGAGCCTGAAACCAATTAGCCATATCGATATGACGCAGACAATAGTCCTTCTTTCCATTTAAGATACACAAAGAAAAATCTACAGCCATGAGTGTACAAATGTATGTAACTAACCACTCTTAGATTACATATTAATTAAAAAACAAAAGTAAATATCAGTTAATTATAACAACAAATACTTACTTCTGCAGTTGCGCATGGAATAAATTCATGATTTACTATACCACTGATAACTTTCCATAAAAATATAGGCGTTAAAAGTTTATGACGTGTAACTTTAAGATGTGGAGGTGGATGGGCTAGTGTAAGAGCAGTGAACAGTCTAGTTATACCACGCCAGTTGTGTAAAATATCTGTACTGGTAAACATTTCATCTAGTAGAGATAATCCGCTTGAATCACAGAATAATCCCAACGCTGGACAAGCCAAGAATACTCGACCGAAAAATCCATACTATTTGGGTAATAATGATGTAAAAGAAAATGAATATATTAAGTTAAAATTCAGATACTAATTAATTGAAAATACTGTGCACGACGTTACACGTATGTATAACAAAGATTCACATTGTTAAAATTAAAATAAGACACGTACAAGTCAAACAAACATGCCGAAGCAAATGCAGATGGATTACACACACGCTGGGGAAACCCGTTGGGTGACATCGCATGCCAGGCCCTTGAGCCTAACCCAAACGTCCGACGGTGATAGGGAGGAGGTTGTGTAAGGAAAAGAAGAAAACTTATCGGCAATCGCGGAACCAACTAAAAAGGACTACAGAGAATAGAATAAAGCGGAAATGTGCTGTTGAAGCCATATGTTCTAGTCGGAACCCAAGGGAATAATGTTAATAATAAGCGTTCAATATCATTTATTCGCAAGTAGATCTTCTTTATGCCTTACTTTAATATAAACCTTGAGGAATTTTGCAAATTATACAAGTAATAACAAAGGTAATATTCTTTCTTATCATATACACGATTATAATTGATAAGTCCATCATAACGGGTATAAAACCGATAATTATCGACAGCACTGGTTGACGGAGAGCAGGGAGTTATATCATGAATTGACACAAGTTAGAATCCACAGGTCATTGGACCTCATCCTAGTGGCTGATGATTAACCGACTAACACAGTGGCCTAGATTTCCTGGGTTCAACCCCTAGAAGTGTCAACGGTATCCTAGTACTAATGAGTACCAAAGAAGAAAGATATAGCTGTTCCGTACTCCTTGATTTTTACAAATATTCTCTAACTAATGTCGGTTAGGGATGAAATAAGTCAAAATCTCTACCAACCTAAAAACCAGTCTGAAATGTACAAGTAGTTGACGCAGGTAAGATGATAAGAATAATAATGCTGAGCTTAGGTTGTTAGACGACAACAAAGTATCCAGATATATTTGATTGGTTTGAGGATTTCATCATGAGATGAAATCAGTTAGAGGACCATTGGAAAACCAACTGGGAGCACTGGAGAGTTGTTTCGTCCTAGTTTGGAGCTCTTCAGTTCTACGCACCCACACTGCGGGGTTCGAACCCAGGACCTTCTGGTTACAAGCCTAGCGAGCTAGCTCGTGGACCATTAAGCCACTGGGACCTGAACCAATGGCCAGCCCATGAATTCTAACTTCTACCAAATTCATGACATAGCGCGACCACTTTGCAATGTCTTCTTCGATGAGTTACTGCCTCATCTTCAACCTGCGGGTACCAGCTGTACGAAACAGCTGTCCAGTACTCCCAGTTTGTTTTCCAGTGGTTCTCTAACTGATGTCAGCTCATGATGAAATCCTCAAACCAATCAAACAAAATCCCTACAAAACCAATACTTGAAAATATTGAGATGCATATTATGAAATCAAATCAACCATTAAAAACAAATCGATAAGTAAAGGGGGAAAATAACAATGCAATCAAAGCAGAATACTCGCCAGTTATGAGGAAAGATTTGGGTTCGATTTCCGGTCGAAACACACGTCTAAAACTCAACTAGCTAGTTTACTAGTCTAGAAAGAAGGGAAGATTGGACATGGTAATAAAACCGTAGCATGATGCAGATTGATAGGAACCGACCAAAAGTGAAATCAACATTTTAACTCAATGGTTACAGGGGTAAAAGTGCTCATTCCTCAAATCTGGAATTAGTCGAAGTTGTGGGCATGAAATAATCCCATTGGACAACTTGTTTAACCCTTTTCCAATTGCCAGCAAATCAGATTTATTCTCCTTTGAGCCAGCTGAACTTTATATATAGCTAAGAATGTATAAATATGATGTGTTTTTCCATTATAAAGTTCCGTTACCAAGTCTCTTATCTTCTTCCGTTACGGTCCAACTAACGTTGATAATTATGCCACTAAACGTTGTATAGTCATTCCAAGAATAAAAAGCAGTCGTATAGGGTAAAACAAATCAATTTTAGCTGCACTTATCTCGACGATTTTGACACACTTGCTAGAGCAATGTTATACTTTAAACCACATCAACTTAAACTAATAGTTTTAACGAAGATATGAGATTGATCCTTTTTTCGGCAGCGCAGCATAACACGGATGATGACGATAGTAACAATGCTGAATGATGTAAACACCCGGAAATATCAAACAGTGACTGATATTGACCAAAAAACGACGAAAATTAAGTTAGGGGTTTTAAAAGTAATTATATACTACTGAGTTATTGAGATGAGTAGTTACGTTCCACTCACATCAACCAGTAGTGCTTGTTAGCCAGCCAGGTCGAAGTGATCTAAACACTGGACGGCCGTTTCGCCCATTTAGGGCTAAACTCATCAACGGTGTGCTCGAAGAGAGAGAGAGCCAAATCAGCTTAAAGCATCCAATCACTTTAACCAGGTTAATAAGCCCTACCGGTTGATGTAAGTAGTATCTCAATAAATCAGTAGTAGTACACAGTTTTATGGTACCTAATACATCATATATGGTGGTCTGAATACTTTCGGTTTCCAAAGGAAACTATAAGCTGCGAATTTCCTTTGGGTGCTTTCACGTTATCGACATAATACTCTACTCACTGAAGTATGTCGTTCAAGTACAGTTATCCATAAGAGATATCACATGTACCGGAGCTATGTGCCAAACTTGTTGTGTGATGACCAATGACACTATCTAGTTGCTTGGGTTGAAGTAGGAAGAGTAGGATTCGAACGTGGGATCTACTGTTTACGAAAGCCGAGCATTTAAGTCAATGTGGGTCACAATTGACCTACTGAGCCTATCAATTTTAAGGCCTCTGGTTAGAACCCCCACTCTGGTCGTCGCTTTACGATAAACTAAGTGGCTAAACGAAAGCCATTTTATGTACTGTGATAAGCTGATACAAAAAGAGGAAACCGAAATGAATTTCCTATTTTTAGTTTCTGGAAGCCCTTTTATAATAACATCAGATAACTGCGAAAGGTGGTTAAATTATGAACAGTATATTTCTACCTAATTATACACACTGGTAATTCAGACTTGTAACAGAATGAAACCTTAAGAAAGCAGAAAAGCAGGAGAAAAACAAACTCACTTTTACACTGACACACACACATACACACACAGATGTGTAAAAGAAAACTTACCAACTTATCTGGGTGTAGTGCAAAAATCCCAGAGAGTAATGATGCATACACTAAAGCTGTATCAATATTATAGGCGAATTGTTTCTCTGCTTGTGAAATTGTTGAAGAATACAGGCATTGCCAAGCGAAATTATTCATTAACTGATTGTCACAATGATCGTCATTATTTTTACTTTGATTAGATTCTTTTTCTTCAGAATTACTGTTAGTATTATTCGTAGTAGTAGTCGACTTAGGAGTAGTACGATTCAAAACTTTTAAAAGGCAATCTAATCTGCCAATACTATGAACTGGATCATATGCACTGATCTGAGAATTTGGAGGATAAAAAAAAAGAACAACACACGTAAGCACGAACAGTATCTTTTTCAATTGGATTTCATCAGGCTTTACTCTAATATATACAACTTTACAAATATATATATATAATCTAAACTAATCATAGATTGTACTTATAAATTGTGCAATCCACTACTAATGGTGGCATGTGCTACTGACGAGATTTATAAGTAGTAAATAAAGGGAAGTTCAAAGGTATCAAATAGCGCGGAGTGACAGATTTGACGTCAGAGACAGGAAATGAACAATTATTGCGGCAAAACATAAGAGACACGAAAAGAAGAAAAACAAACAAAATACAAAGGGCAGAAGTAGTACGACACGGAAGATCTATGCAGCAAATGACAATTTTAATAGATGGTATACATAATTACCCTGTATATGTATATCAAATGACAAACAAACATTCCACTACGAAATCTCTTGTCTTCTCTTGTTACACTGATAACAGTCATAATAATGCTACTATTAACAAAGATGAAAAACTGGAGAGACTTGTGATAACAAGAATAAGGCTTAGTGTGATAATAAGAACAATGAAACATGCCACGGTCAAATAAAAAAATGTTCAGATAGACATTGTAGATAAAGGCTGAGAGAAACAAATAGCCCAATATTAAGTAGTGCTAGATTGTAAGCGAAGTAAATAAACTACCTTTTAATGAAGATGTAATAGGATTAAGGGTTAGTAAGAACGAGATTAAAAAGTATACATAAGGGACGGTAGTGATATCATCAGTTGGTTAGATCTTACCCGACCAAAGGAGCGATAATGACTGTACGAACTTCTTCTGAATGCGTAGTTTAGGCTTAATATCTTGAATATCCATCGCCCCATATATATGCAGTAAACGAATACGGAGGACATTGGAAAGATTCGGTAGGATGCGATGAATCATCTTGAGTGCTGTCATTCCCCCCCCCCCTACCCACCCCCTAAATGACCAGTATCAACTAAATGTGACAAAACGGAGCTTCGGACTATCCTTTACCAAACCACGATGGGAGATGTTCAATAACACGTTGGTCAAGCTGTTTCGTAGTACGCCTAACGTAACTGTATCCGCAGGGGCAACTGAATTGATAAATAAACATAGATGTGGCAAAATTATCCAGTTTATCCTCTTTGTTTGAGTTGCAATCATTCGAAGACTAGAAAGTGACAAAAATATTTTTCATGCGTAAAATATTCCCCGGATACTTTTGGCTAGTTTCTGGAACAAAATCTCATAAAATCGGAAACTTGCTCAGTGAGTTGAAATAACTATTATAAATGATTGCATCGAGGATTCCATCATGAGCTGACATCAGTTAAAGAACCATTGGAAAACCTGGGAGTACTGGACAGCTGTTTCGTCCTAGTTTGGAACTGTTCAGCAGTGCGCACTCACCGGGGTTCGAACCCAGGACCTTCTGGTTACAAGCCTAGCGAGCTCGTAGACCATTGAGCCACTGAGACCTGATTCAATGGTCTTTGAATTCTAACTTATGCCAATTCACGACATAGCGCGACCATTTCGCAATGTCTTCTTCGATGAGTTACTGCCTCATCTTCAACCTGCTGTACCCTACTGGTCACGGCTTCCCACTAGAACCCCAGGTTAACTGCCTAAATAGGGCCAGTCAGCTGATGATGAAATCCTCGATGCAATCAAACAAAATCCCTACAAAACTAATACTTGATAATATGGATGACTAATCAGTATAGTCAAAGTTCAGTTATCAAGGCATCAGTTTCGTTTGAAACACTTGATTGCAATTACTTCAGCAAATCGTAGTAGATTTACTGTCCTTTTTATATTTAATACTTTGAAGGATTTAGAAATCTCGACGAAATGAGCCGTATGCACCAGGTGTCTGAGGTAACTGCATTTGGGACTATCTGCTTCCTTTTAGACATAAGTTTCTTTGGATATGCTCTGAAATTCGGATAGAAACCCTTCTTTCTGTCCTTCCAGTGTACTGACTTCTGCCGCAAGTGCACATAGATTCATAAACGCAGTTGGCGGTGACATCAGCAGAGTACTTAGACAGTTTGGATTGGCTTATAAAGCATGTGGTGCTGTATGGCGTCACAAACTTAGCTGTAGGGAAGCATATTTTTATTGCCCCTTCCATTATGTTGTCAATCTTTTGCGATACCGCTTATCCTTTGAATGGGAGACAGATGAGCACTTTTCTTCTTTTCAACAGTTGGATGTTTCCTTTTCTCGTCCTTTCCTTCGCTGTACTTTTGGATAAATCCCCTTGGATATCCATTCTCCCTTGGGCATTTTTCAACAAGGCTTAATTCTTCTTCCACTTCATTAGGCGAAGATAACTTCCTGCCTCTGTCATACAGTGTCCTTACTAATCCACACTTATGGCTTATAGAACAGAAGCTGTAGTAGTAAAGATATTGTCCGGTTCAGGTTTCTTTTCTGTAGATGGATTTTTCGACCGTATCATCATTTCTTCTTCTTGCATTAAAGTCCAGGAAATTGAACTGATCATTGTGTTCATATTCCATGGTCAATTTAATGTTTTGCGTGGATCTCAACCAGGCGGTCATCCATATAAGTGATTTTAACTCACTGAACAAGTTTCCAATTTTATGAACTATAAACTTCTTGAGTTGCTATGTAAACCTAAATGCTAGCACTGTTTGTTAGACTTTTCTGTTTTCTATCTTCTCTCCCTCTCCCCCACTGCTTTTCTATTCTAAAATCATATAAATTTATGGTAAACATTGTAATGCTCATATTTCCGATGTGTTGATTTTACAATGTTTTCTTTACTACTTTTCAAACATGGAAGTGTGTTATTTTCATTATTCATAGCCATTGTGATTTCAGGTAGCTTGCAGCTGATGAGAACCTGTGAAATAGAATGATATCATTTGATACTGCAAGTTCTGTATTTGTTTCTTTATTTATAAGACTACGTTATATCGTAAAGAACTCTGGAAACTCTCAGTAGGGTAAGAGATGTGAATTCAGGCAGACTCGTTGACATCCACTTGAAATCATGCAAGAAACTGTTTAAAGTCATATTTTCGGAGGACTTGGAGCATCTGTTTCTATTAAAAGCTTTCACTTGATATTTCCGGAAGTAGAACTGACTCAGTTTCGAGAAAAGACTCTGTACATAAGGCGAACAGTTCAAGTTTGAACACTCCAAGTAGCACACAAAGGCAGACAGAAGAGATTAATAAGCACTATAATAAACAGAAATGAGAGGGAGAGAGAATAGTAACATGGAAAAACATGACGGCTTAGTGGATTAGGGAGATTACAAAGAGTGAATGCATCTGCTCCATTCAGAGGGATTTTCAGCCATATCACCGACGGTCTCCAGCCATTGGTTCTTAACATTCTCAGGACCCTAATTAAGTAGCCTGAACACCCCTGAATGATTCAAACCAACCAACAACAACTTCATAGACTAATTTCATGTTTTCCCCTGACCAACCCTGACTATTTTCCAACTTAACCCTATGTCGGCCAACATTGACCATCAAGGAAGGTTATAGCTTAGCATGCACAACACGTGTCCTAGCCATCTCAAGCACAACTTCATCGATTGACTTGCCCCCCCCCTTAACTAAAACTACGCCTAACCCCAATATTACTCACCACATTATACCACTTAACATGGGAAATAGGAAGCAAATATCTATAATAGTGAACCCCATTCCTGAAACATGTCTTTCATGTTCCAGGCTCTGAGCCACATTTATTATTTGAGGGCTGGTGACACCACCCAGTTGCCCAGACTGATAATTACAACCACAAACGAGTAAAATTGACAAAAGCATTGAAAGGAAGGATAGTCAACATACCTGACCGCATGCACAAGTTATATCTTGCTTAATTCTCAACGCATCTGTTTTGAATTTTGAATCCCACAATGATGGATAAAGGATATTTGTATAATTCTCAAGAAGTACACGGGCTTCATGAAACGTTGGAAATGCCTTTCAAAAGAGAATACATAAACAAGATATCACAGATGAAAAGAGATCTAATCAGTAATTTTAATTTTCTAGTAATAATGCAACTTACTAATTTATTTTCAGGTATTGGTATTTCTGGAATTACAACTTTTGATGATACAGGTATTTGTTGTTTTGACTTTGAAAGACCTGTAGAAACAATACTTTTACACGCTGCAAGACATTCTTTAGCTTGAGATTCTAAGCGTTTCATGATTAATTCCATTTGATAATCCATTGTATCATCACAATCATCAAACATTGGAGATGGAGAAGTGATTAGAGTCAGTGCCCGAGTCTCAATTTCTTCAGCTTCATTTACTAAACTATTCAATGAACCACCTAACAGAAAAAAATGATATCAAACATTCAAAGTGAATCAAACAAAACACTAAAATAAAACAACGCAAATTATTAATCTAATATCACTTGTGATTATAAACAATAACAGGTAAAACGCGTATATATTCCGGCAAGACTGACTTACTCACCCTTTCATCAACATAGAACCCTAAACATAAAACTGCAGTCATTCAAGGTAGCACATTTCAAATGTTGACAGACTGAATTCCATTTAATAGGCTAGTGTTGAGGAAAACTCAAGCACGAAGGTAATACCAGAAGAGTCTTAATTCATGACTTCAATGACAAATAATCACAAATTCAAATTTGTGTAGAGGTTTTACAAGCTGTCAATCATTCCTGCAGTGTTATCACCTTTAAAATCGAGTAGTATGAAGACGGACTTTTTCTCCACTGTGACTTGTGTGGCATTTGAACATTCACACCTTCCGTACTTGTTAATGAATTTCTGAGGGTAACTGTTGTTTTTCAACATCTTTTAGAGAATGATGAATTATTTCCCTAATTTTTCTGTAGAGCATATTCTCCTGACTCTATAAAACAGAGTTTTGACCGGTGCTCGTTTATAGCTATTTGAACAGGAACTATTAAAATGTAAGTATTGTCCGTTTCATGTAGGCTTTCAGTAAGTTGACCTCTGGAGACTAGCATCTTGCAGGCGTTGCATGCCGATGTCAAGGAAATGAAGCTTTCCATCATTTTCATGTTCCATAGTGAATTCAATATTCGTGTATGCGTCGTTGACTAATCCGAGTAGGTAGAAAACACATCTTTCACTGTTGCACATTACAAATATGTCATCAACACATCGACAAGAAGTTGTTTAGTCGATTGTGAGCTTCAACTTTGTTCTCTCAAGGTCGGACATGAAGATGTCTGCTAGAACAGGGCTTAGTGGACTGCTCATAACTCTGTGTATACAAATTTACATGTATCTGTGGTAGCGGTTACATTGGGAGAAGAGAAAGTAGGGCACACCTTCAATATAATGAATATGTACCAGAAAGCAAAATCCTTAAAAATTATCAATAGACAAAACAGTTCCATTCTCCTCCAGTTTGTCAAAACAATCGCTATCAAACGCCTGAAACCCGATTCATGTGTCCAGAAAGAAGTGGCTGTCAGTATTTCCTTACCCTGGTAACTGGATATCTTTACTGTATCTTTCATTTGATTATGTAATCCCTGGTCTTAACCTCTCCCCCTTCTAAATAGTGTAACTGCTTGACTCTTGTTTCTATGAATTAAGCTGGACTCACCATACTGTTACTCAGTTTATTAGTTACTCATCATCTTACTCACCTCTTGTTTTTATTACTTAACTTCCTTACCATTGCATGCAAACATTTATTTTTGTGCTTTATAAGCATAATTTTCTGAGCACCGTTTATTAAGTCTGGAGCCCTCAATCAATTGACATAATGAAACATTTGCAAGTATGTAAAAACTGTTCTGTACATGAACTTAATAATTTCGTTATTCAAAAAAGCACTGGCGTTCCTCATAACAGTAGGACCTAAAGAACACGAGTTAGGTAACTACTGGAGCACTGTGAGTTGACAGAGTTTCTCACGTAATTTCGACCTAATATGCAATACCCCTAGTTTTTCAATTTATCTTATGTAAGCAAGAAAATAAAATATACACAAGAACTTGATAAAAGACACTTCGGAGTTATAAGTACGAAAGAATACGAAAAGCAGATTTGACTGACCAAAACTTCGGAAAAAGTGCAAGTATAGTTAGTTGCGCAATATATTTATATACATATACAAAATATAATTCGTTAAGAACTTACCTGAGGAGAGATTCTTATTTTTACAAAGTATATCCGTAACTTCAACTCGGATACTGATGATGCTGTTAATTATCATGTTCAGTAAATCCTCATTGGTTGACTTTTTGCTATATCCGCTGTAAGTCAACTTAGTTGTTGGGGGAAAAGCTTCTAAAACACCACTACAACCTTCACCTAAACATTTTTTCATGGGAATCTCAGCATTTTTCGTGCAATTTACGTCATGAGAAAGTGATACAAAGTTTTTCTCTAGTAAGTCTGCTATTCGTGCGACTGAGCGTTGAGACTTCGCAATGTTTTTTTCATATATCTTAACTGCGCTACTGGATTTGGCCAATGCAGATATCCATGCCTCATCCATATCAAAAAAGCTACCCCTCTCAACCTCTCCAATCATGAACACCTCAAGTGGATATATCGTCCAACCGTTGAGTGTAACGTCAACTATAAATACCCACACTTTTTTGTTCAATATCCAATTTCATTTTTTACGAGTAAGCGTAAACCAATTTGATTTCTTTGTGCCAGTATCTTGGTTTTGAGTAAATTTTCCTGATCTCAGGTAAACATTAAGCGTAATTCATCCCATCACTAGACTGTCATAGCTGGGCGAATATATGGCATATCCACTATCTGAAGTGGCGCCTGCAGCTTAGTCTTCACGGCATTTGCGCGGTTTAGTTGATTCGAGTTGGGCCTAGTCGTCCAGGCAAACGTAGCTGACGTGATTTTGGTGCCTATTTTGCTCTTGTTGGATGAACTTATATGAAAATTGTTGTTCGATATAGTTCTTGGGTCAAGTTAAACTTTAAGCACCATTAACTACCAATCAGCGAACGACATCGAATGGTTCAGTGAGATTCATGATCGTGAATTCATTGTTGTGTAGCGCTTGATTCGTTTCAAATTGGTGCTGTAACGAAGTTACGCTTGCAGCTTGAGGATGATAATGTTTTGCACTATTGCCTGGATTTGGGGTTGATTAGGAAGGAGAGGATTTGTTCATGTAGTGGTGTGATGAGTTTAAAAAGCTTAAGTAGGTCGACTGATGGATATGTACATCCTTGTGCAATTTGTTTGAGATGAGTTAGCATTAGATAAGTCAAGCTGATAATTTTAATATTTCGTAGGAACATTTTTCGCTAGGTCGTATCTCTCCTTAGCTCAGAATTTGTACATTTGCAACTACTGGGTTTTAAAACAGCCTGTGAAAGCCCCAGCTGCTGAAACCGAAAATAGCCTCGTCTCAGCAGTTCAGTGCTACCAGCACTGCAGAGAGAATGAATCATGGAAAATGGAAAGAATTACTTCGCTGTTGCGCAGAGAAGTCGTCGTTGTGCACGTGGACGAAACTGTGCTGCTGAAGAAAAAATACAACCATGGTCGTCAGCGAACCAACAATATTTGGGTAATCGGTTTATGTGACAACCCCCTATGGAAAGGATTCGTGGAGAGAATACCATATAGAAAGGCAACTACTTTAATACCTATCATTACTAAACTTGTGTAACAGGGATCAATAATACATACGGATCAATGGAAAGGTTACAACTCTCTGTCATCTCTTGAATATATTCATCATGGAGTGAACGATTCCAGTTAATTTGTCAATCTTATTACGAGGACACATACAAACTCTTTTGGAGGATTTCGGGGGAGATTGAAAGATAGGATTAGGGCTATAAATGGATCTCAAAAGGATCTCATTTATAGTCATTCGAATGAATATATGTATAGAATGTGGTGTGATTTTTCTATTGACAGTCCTATGCTTAACTGGGAGATGTTTCGCTCATGTGTTAGAGAAAGAAACTCTGTGCAACAGTTTTATGCATTTTTTTATGCTTTTTTCAATAAATATGCATTTTCCTTCATCAAAAATCCATCTTTCATGTGAGTGGTCCGTTGAAGGTCGTTTGCTGATTGGTAGTTAGCAGTGCTGAATGTTTAACTTTGCCTGTTCTTGCGTATTTACGTATTGCCTTTGCGACAGGACGCTAAAATATATAGTTCAGGCAATGATTATTTTGTATGCCGACTATGCTTCGCGTACATTTCGACAACTGTCTTTCTACAAATTTCTTTGCAGCTTGGTGGCAACCTGCACTCGGTCGTAAATTTCCCGATCAGCTGTTGTGCGGTTCCTATTTCTGTTGTAGGAACCAAAGAATATGGTTGATATTGAATACGCACATGCTTCTGCACTTTTGTGTTGTGTTTTGCTCCAGTGGAATCCATAGATACAGGCGAGGACTAATGTCATCAAATGGGTAGAAACTACAATATGTTTTACGATCACTTGCAACATTCTCTGTTTTTCTGCCAAAATTTTCAACTAAGATAAATGCACACTAAAACATATTCAAGTGCTTTGCTGGATTTGAATAACATCGTCGTGAGGACATCTGAGGTGTGCGTCATTCTGTCCTATTATTGAGTTTGATTTCATAAACTTCCCGCTTTTCGCCATTATCCTGACGCCATACTGTGTGCGTTTGTACAATGTCAGCTCGCAGAATTATTTTGGAGGCATGTAGAAGTAGTGTCTGACATCTATTAAAGCTATGGGCTTGACATTTAGAAGCGGTTGCTATATCCATTTAGGGAGGATTCATCGATGTCTGCAAGTAAGGGCTTCAGGTCATATTCCTAAATGCTCCCAGAAGCAAATAGAATCTTCAGGAGCCCTAGCTCCTCTTTTACGAAACATATTATACAGAAAGGACATAAAATTGATGTTTACACGTCTTTTTAACCTATCTATTAAACGTGCTTGGATTGTATCCCAAGGTTTGTGGAAGTCCTAGCAATTAGGAAGTTCAAATCACCTTTATGCACTCAAAAACAATTCGTCATCATACAAGACCTTCCTTGGTGAACTTTGTTTTGATACCAGTCAGGGTAAATGTACTAATACCTCAGTTATTCGGTTTAGTGATCTTCATTTTTGTTTTGACCTTCAATATGTGCTTTTAACTCCACCTAAATTTATTTTCTAACCTCTTAACTCTATTAATTTCAAATGTATTCTTATGACAAATCCGTGTGTGTGGTCAGATTATCCAAAATGTGTTGCGCAAATACAACACTACATGATTCAGACAAATTACGCCTTCTTGTTGCTTTGTCTAAACATCCACTTTTGTCAAAAATAGGGACTGACGTAGTCACACATTGATTTAAACTTATAAACTATTAATTCTTACTGTGTTAACTCGTCAATTATTATATTAATAGTTATATTCATGTATACATACTATGAACCCTTGTTGTCGATTTTTAGCCGCTCGGTAATTTCGGCGACTTCATGGGGTTCGTTGCTGAAGAAAGGGGTTTCCAGTATCGCTGATTTTGTATTCTATGTTAAATCGTCAATAAGCGTATTCCCTATTCCTCAGATGGACATTCCATTTGTTAATAGTGAATATTAACTTTATCGAATGATGTGAGCTGCAGAGTTTGGGAGATTAGGGTCATGTGTTAAGTTTTGCATTTATAAGATACGTTCGCCTCGGAGTTATGTTATCGTCAATATGCAGTTCATTCTTGTTCTCGTAATAAATTTGTTAACAGTAATTATCATCAATACCTGTGTTTTGGGAGGATGATATGTAACGAAACGTACTAATTCAGTAGGCAAAGGTTAGAACTATCCGTTAAATTTGAAACAGGTGCTCACATATGGGGAAATTGACCATTTGAAAGTCTAAACATCAAATAAGTGATAAAGTTATTAATAATAATATATTCTCATTTTTTACAGGAGGGACGCCAGTTTACAGGCGTCAACAATATGATAAATTACATATACGATTAGTAAGCATATTGAGTAATAGTAATTTAATAAAATACATTTTTTCCTACCTGTGTAGGACACACCAATTGTACAGGCATGGATAAGTATTATTTAAATTACATAAATTTGGTTCATGGTAAAATTATAAGGTTGCAGTCATTTTGTCTATGGGAACAATATGATAACTAGTCATTCAATGGAGCGCATCAAGAAATATAGAAATATTGTCTTCGCATTAACAAAAAAACCCAAGTATGTTTTGGATGGATTACAAATACTTGGGAAAAAAATAAAGCTTGAAGTAATTCCTCCATATAACTTTGGTGTGTCTTATTCTTGATTTATATCCAAATTTGATAATAATTTAAAATAAGTAATACAATTGTATACTTTTGTCAGCATTTTCTTCGTAACAAAACAAGTGAACAGTACTCAATGTAGACTAATAATAATGACAGTTTACATTTTCTTATAAACGGGTGTTTTCAAGAGATGCAAGCTATTTTTGCAGACAAGATCAGTTATGTTGTAAGTTACAATCGTGAAGTATTATAAATCAATACCTTTTTATAGGTATAAAGGTATATTTCACAACTGTAATCCAGGTTGCGTAATGCGTAATTCACGAGGGAATTGTAAGATATGGGACCAATAATGTTTGCATATCATTTGTCATTGTAAATGGTCAAATATCCACATTCTTCATTCTCATTCAAGAAGTTAAATGGAAGCTGAAATGGTGAGAGACAAAAGAAGACGAACAACAACGCAAAAGAAAGCAAGTGGAGTACTTAGGGAGTGATTAATATGTATAGATACATTTGTGTTCTGTTTAGTAATTATAGTTATTTTGGTGCACTAACTAACTATTCCCGTAATGCTAACTTTTATATTGTGTGAACTAATATTACTGTCCTGTGTAAAAATGTCTATCATGTACTTCCAATAATATAACAATTTATAATTGCAGTTTGTTGTAACTACACGTTTAATGAACTTAAACTATCTATGTGGGGTGAAAAAGAGGGTGTACGATTCAGACGCAGAAGTGCATTGTCATCTTTGAGCAGTCTGGTGACTGAGGAGATGAACACTGCGAGTGTGTTTGCATCGCGCACATCAACTGGTAGTCTATTCCAAATGACTGAAAACTTATTTAAGAAGTCATACCGCATGTAAGTCTGACAATGCTCTATAGCAGCTAGGTTGTGATGATTTCTAAGATTGTACCTGATGACAGTGGTAGGTTTAATTATTGGCTCGGAGGAGTGCACGAGCAGATTAGTTAGCTTGTAGTAAAAACTCAGGTTTAGCTTAGGACGTCTTTTCCAGAGTGGTTCTAAACTTAGTCTCTTGCAACGTTCATAGTATTCGAGACCACATTCTAAACCAAGAGTTCTTAAGGTGAATTGCCGTTGCACTCCTTCTAACTTAAGCTTGTCATTTTGCCTGAGTCCGCTAAGAATAAACTGGCAGTATTCTAAAATAGGTCGGACACATACTTTGTATAATAAAACCCTAGTTTTACAACAAAAGAAATTGCGAGTTATGCATCCTAGTAGCCTTCGTGTTTTACGTCTGGCATAATCAGTTTGTTCAGAGAACGTTAAGTTACTAGAGTATCTGATACCGAGATCTACGACTGAGTTGAGCTTGGC